TTTCATGTCAAAATGGTTTCTTTCAATACTGAAAGTAGAACACACTATGGAATGAAAAAATGGGATGAATTTCAAAAAGATCAAATTCAGGATTTTTTTGTTTGTTATACACGCGTTACATGGTGATACAGTATTTATCAAAATAATAGAAGACTGTTACCTGAATTTTAGGTAGGTATGAGGAAATTCACTAATATCATATTCGTGCGAGACAAAGATATGAAAGCTATTTGCCATTGGTAATATATAAAAAAAACTACTGTTAATTTTTAGGGAGATCAATATATATTTTTTTGTTGAATTGCTTTAAAACCATTCATAAAAAACATTACACTTCATGTTCAAACTGCAGATCAAAGTTTCTGTTGTTGTCATGATATCTATCTATAGCCTATGCTTAAGGTGATTCCGCTTTGTCAGCCATGTTTGTTTTCACTAAAGTCTGTCCAAAGTGAAAGTAGGCCAAAAATCATACATGTATAACAACAAAGCTCTTATTGTAAAATGATGAACCATTTGAAAGTACACTTCCAGGTTTATATTTTAAGGACAATTATAATCAAAAATAAAAATGATAACAATAAGAATATTTACCTTGAATGTGCTACATTTCTTAAGACCAAAAACATTCTGTTGCAAAGTTTTATGCACATTTCATGAACAAAAAAGATACAAGATAATGTAATATTTTAACAATTTATTACACTATAATCATAAAATTAAGAAAACAACACAATGCTGACCCATTGAGAAAAAACAACAACAAAAAACAGCCTTACATGAGGACTGACGAAATATTTTTATTCTGCCATGACCTAGGACTGACGGATTTTCGCACAGACTGGTCATTAATTGCACCCTTTAAACAACCTGTTAATCCGTTATCATACACGCTGTTTGACGACCGCTGTGTTTATTGATTAATCATGGAGGCCGATTCTGCAAGTGCTATACGAAATTGTAAACAGGGATAAGAAAAATCAAGCGCCGCGGTGACTTTTATGACACAGCGGTGAGATTGATTTGGCGATTAAGGCACAGCTGGAGCGCGTCGCTTAAAGCGCCCGGGGAAATTTATTGGTCCCCGTGTAAAGAACGCGTGTGCTCTAAACGAGAAAACAATGGGTGGAACTAAATAAAATGAAATTGCATGTCGCAGACAAGCCGTCAAAAGACACTTTTAAAAAACAGGCCACATATCCTAAGGGTGATTAAATAATATTCAAATGAGCAATCCCGGAACCACCCGATAAGAATTAGTCGAATAGAAATAGCTAAAAACAAAATTGGCCTACATTTCCATTAAAAATACCACAAGCACAATAATAATGTCGTGTTAAACGATCTTTTAGGATCGAAAATATTACATCCCTGATTTTAAATATGAAAATAAATATGACAGCAAACCTCTTTACAGGTGCTTACCTCGGCTTATTTTGAGTGTACGCCGAGTGCAGGTCTTTTTGGCCGAAGGGTCGCCAGAGATATATATAAACTATAGCTAGATGTGCTAAAATGAGGGATTTAGGGGACATCTAAGATAATTGTACTTCTATTGTCTTTATCTATAGTTATGAAAATAACATCAAGTACATGCATTTAAAGTAAGAGAAATTTCACGAAGTCTAACATTGACAATGTTTTAAAAAGTTCAAAAGTTATTTACTAATAGGAAAACAAAACATAGCCAGGTGTCACTCTATTGTAATAGAAATGTTCAACAAGTTTTTTCTTTGTTATACTTCTTTTGTTTCATCATAACTTAACATGAGATACAATCAAGGAAAATGTGCTTTAAAATGATCTGTATGACTTTAATCTTTAATGTTTTAGAGCCCGTCTACACCTATCCAAGTCTTGAATGCAAGTATCATATTCTCTTGTATTGGATAGTGTAGACACCCTACTTGAATGAGTTTTAAAGAGAAATTATGTGACATCCAAGAAGATAATTCCTTGCAAGAAAGTTAAAACACGTTCTATTTTTCTACAAGATTTGGCTGTCAAGACACTGATAACACCGGTTTGACACAAAACATGTGCCCCGAAGGCGTGATAGTGTTGTTTTTTTATTATTTTCTGACTTTTTTGTTACTGATTCAGTGTTCATGATCTGTAAATTTTAATAAATGTATAAAATATCTTGGTCAGAGGATCATATCAATAAACTGATACACAGAAGAGCAAAAAAAATAAATAAGTTTTTCAAGTAGTCAAAATAGATTTTAAATGATTTTGTTCATTTAGTGAATAACTTTCATCAAATAAAGAACTTGCATCAATTTATCAGCTCAAAAAATATTTTTCTCACATTTTCCATTATTTTAAAAGAATGTACACATTTCAATTTCATTTACTCCATTGTTTTTAGCTAATTGCATCATTTTCCCGCTTTTTTATTCACATATTTTACAGAAACATGATAACATTGCAAAGACAAAGGTATAAATCCTGGACAATCTTAATTAGTGTTGTCCCGATTGTCTCTGAAAATCGATAACTAATCGGATCACCCCAAAATCGGCAACAATCGATAGTCCTTTTTAACAATCGATTATTTTAATGTTCTACCACCGCTGAATTGCCTAGGGCGTAACTTTTTTACACACGGTCAAATAGAAGTTTCCCGACCAAATCTCTTTAATTCCAGAGGATCCTAAAGTCTTTTTTGTTTGCGTTATCAAAAAAGAAATACAGAAAAAACATGGATAGTGATAAATGGGCAATTTGAACGACTTTGTTTCCTGAACATCAAAGCAAATTCATCCTTGCCTGTCACAAAGTAGTATTAGGTATTTGTGTTGTTTGTTTTGAATTCAAAGAGTTAATCTTACTTTAATCAAGGAGACAAGAGCTTATTTATTCTCAAAATATGGTCACTACTGTATAAAAAAATACATACAAGGATTGGTACCTTAAAAGAAAAAAGGCCAAAAAAAATGCAAAACTCGATTATACTATCGGAAGACAATCGATTGTGGTGATCCGATTATCGATAGTGATTTTTGAGTCCGATACCCAACACTAATCTTAATTAGACATCCCAGTAAAAATTGTTCCTGATAAAATATTGAAAGGGCCATTTATTTAGCTTATCTAAATGTGACATGTAAGAAACTTGAATAGATGTAGACACGGCCTTAGTGTAACGAAATGTTATCGTATTTATCAGCTAAGATGTAGTATCGCACGATCATTTACGTCCCTTAAAATATTTTTAAATTCGTATTATGTCAATGTTGAAGACAGCAAATATTGTCTTTAACAGTTTTTATTCTCAACTCTACTCTTTCAGTTTCCATTCCAAATATTTAAGATATTTCATCAGGAAGTTAAATGCCTCACGCACATAAAAGGATGCTCGCCAACTCGTTATCTAAAGTTGGTGAAAATAAAATAATTGGGACGTACATGATGTGTCTTATATGGCTATACATTGTTTTCGTTGTATATTTGTCTATGTTTTAAATATGTATAGATGAGACTATGTATAATAAAGAATATATATATGTCATTGTTTGCAGAAGTATGCAACTTATTTCTATACACAATAAAATAATACAGTAGAAACATCTTTCTGTAGTGATATATTTTGTAAATACATGTATTCATTTTTACGGTTAAATCGGTTTGTAACGATAGATGCTGGCAAAGATCTGATTCATAGGGCCCAAACTATTCTACACAATTTGAAATGAATATAAGATGAACGAATGTTACTAAATTAACAAATAATATACTGACTTATAGCTACAAGGTAAATTCCATACAGCTAACTCCGCAAACTCCAAGTTGCAGACAAGATCTTAATTTTGCATATAAATATGTAGATCTAGATGTAAAACATGAAATAAATGTTTAGTTTTCACTGATTTTGATTCTTCTAAAAAAATGATTGCAATATATTGGACAATTTTTTATCATTATTTTGATTTTGGCGAGGTTTATAAGCATTATAACATTGATTCTTTAAAGCTTAATTCAATCTGAAAAAAAGAGAAAATTCCAAAGAAATTTTTTATATCATTGTTTTACATTGTGTACGTCACTCCAAGTTTCTGTTGACAAAGTTTCTGTTGAAAGGCCGAATATTTTGTTTTCTGAGTTTCAAAGTCTCATCTTTCGCATAGGGTGGTATAAACTGAAATTTTAAAGATAATTCAAACCATACCCCCTTATAAACACTGATTTCTCGGATGCGAGACTAACACAACAATAGAATAATTCTCTCTAACATGGCTTCCCGTTGATATACACAAGCAATTGTTTTATTTTAATTTGCTCATATGTGCTTACTCCCTTTACTTATAATTGATTTCTTGATTGTTAACGCATATTCGAATAAGGTAACATCCTAAGCATACCTATAGAATCAATAAGCAGCTACGAATATGTTAATCAATCTACGCCCAAATTATTGATTTTATTTGTGATATTTTACTTTTTCGAAACTCTTTTCTTTTTATACGACCGTGCGTATTGGCGTATCGGTAGGTACGCCCCTGCCTTACTTCCCAATGGGCGGGATACCCTCGAGAGTGATGTTTCGGTACGAACCGTAACATCTGACATATTTTATCAACCTAATGACCAGTGTTTTCCTTGGAAAACCTGGTTAACAAAATGGAAAATACAAGTCTCGTAAGGCAGCCTAGATGCATTGGCCTTTTACTTGGACCTGCTTTGAACCAATTAAGAACCCATTGGGAACAACTAGTTTTGATTTATTTAAGATAAATTCATAGTTATAATTAAAGCAAAGCAATCGAAAACGAAAGTTCAATGATGTGTAATTTCGGATGTAGCATACACAAGATATAATATCCTTTATACTGGCGCGTAATGTCGCCCTAGTTATTATAAAGGGATGTAGCGTAATAAAAACGAGATTATTAACCCTGTTCAAAATAAGCCCAGACATGTACGCCCTTACCTTAGACCACGTGACCACGTCACATGCATTATTAAACTAATTAATAAAAATGTAATATTCAACTTACCCTTAAACAGAATAAAGATGGATGTTCACATTCTTCGGTAACATTCTCCGGTGCAAACTCATTTGGTAACTTAATAACTCGGCACATTCGACACTCCATTTTTCCTGTTAAGTTTAACACGCAAATAGTTTAACAATAACAGTCTCAATTTATTTTCGGAAAATCGGAGGTATTGATCGACCTACTTTTGCAAGTGGGTTGGCAAGAAAGTAATAAATCAACAATATAACGTGAACATGATCCTTAAATACTCGATTATTTCAATAAAAACAAACCTTTTGTGCTAGTTAATAAAAAAATAACTGGGGAGATACTGACATCTAGGCGCTACATCTAGGCGCCATTGAAAAACTCGGATTCTTGAGGAAAGTTCACATAACTACAAATGTGCAAACGCATTCATCATTATATGTCTAAAACATTTTACATCATATAGAAGAATATTTATATAAAGGCTTAATAGAGTTCTCAGCAACAAAATCGTAGTAAAACAATGTTGCTGATGATAAATTGAAAGACACGTTCATACATGTATGATGCCGACTTGATTGTCGTTAACCGATTAATTCATAAGTATCATGCATATACGTTTGATTTGAAACGGGCTATAATTGACCGGACAAGTAAACCCACAGACGCTTTGGGGTCAAGTCCTGTCCCAACGTGATACGCCCCTGTAAACACTTTATCAAAAGTATTAAATATTTAAACACGAAGTAGGTGAGGTTGTTTTGAACCCGGTGTTGCTTTGAAGTTTGTAACACCAGAGGTTTTGCCAAAACCATCTTTCCAACCTATATTTGATGATGCGCCGTAAAACAAACCAACCAAACAAACACCGGTTATATCAAACAGCGGATAAAACGTACTTATTGACCATGGAACTTCTGTTTTAATCAGATAATGAAAAAACTAGCTTTCTAAATAACTGTTTTTAATCTCAAATTGAGGTAAATTGTAACAACAAAGACTTTCCACACATTGAAACTTATCTTGACGATTCTAAGTTACGTCGCATTCTTATCATTGCAGATGAAGTAATTTAACACTAAAATTTTTCTTTGCGTCTGGGCCAGATATCGTTAGATAATATCATAATATTTAAAGACTTTGCTGAAAAAACTAGCAAATCATCATACGTTTGTAGTCTTTCTAATCGTTCCCTTTCTTTTGAAAAAAATACCTTCTCATTGAAAGATAGCACATGCCTTATATAATGTTTAAAAATAAAAACAAAAAAAAACCCCGCAAATCAAATTATAAGTAAACATCTCTTCTTTGCACCATTTTGTCACCGTGGGTAAGCAACTTTGGTCATGTGACCACAAAAGTCAACGTACACGGCCAAAATAGCTCGTCTGGGGTAAGTTTTTAGTGATTATTTTTCTGTCGACCGATTTCAATTATGCTACATAGCCTACCAACCGCGGCAGTTCCGATGCTTTCTAAAAATGTATTTAGTCTAACGTTTTGTATTTTATGTGAACATTCAAACAATATTTGCAAATTGTCGATGACAACGTACACACTATTGTGTAAAAGTGTTGATAATAACTTAATAAAAGATACGCATGTCTGTTCTAAGTAAAATTTCAGGTCTTAAAATATATAAGATATTTTTTTAATGAAAAAGAACTGGTTTTCTGCTGTCATTTTTTGTATTTATTTTAGAATTGACCAACTTACAGAAATGTCAACGTACACATACTGTCTAGCAAGTGTCAACGTACACACTCCCAATTTAGTTTGATAGTTGGTTGAACTTCGAAATAGGTGGCTTTTTACAACAAAAAGTTGGCTTTCAATTTAGATTTTCCTCTCAAACTGTATATAATTACTATTTTTTTTACAAAGGAAATATAGTTTATCCCTATGATTACATCACTAGTTTTCTTTTTACATTATATTTTCAAGAATATATCTTCTTGCACTTGTTATGTAAAACATATTTTCTAAACAATTTACCATTTTATAGGTTGGTTAAGGCAACAATAACCCTTTGTTAAATGGTTAGTTACAAGTACCAAGATTCTAGTAAAATGCTTTTACTGCTCAAGAAACCATGTCAGTTACTGGAAAATGGTTACTAGTAATAAATTTACCGGAAAATGGTTTCTAGTAATAAATTTACCTATCTTACTTTGTGCGCAATGTATGAGCTATTAGCCTATAGATATGAATCAATGACCTTGTTTAAACATTTAAAAAGTTGAAATGATTGTTACAATGCAAAAATTTTATCGACATTTTGCTCAAATAAAATGGTTTGCTTGAATTTAAAATTTTGATTGCAGTGCAAATTATTAAAATGTACGACACTTGAACATTTTTGTTGAATACATATCATAGACTTGTAAAATAGCAGACATGGCAAAACTTGCAGTGAAACAACAAGGGCAGAGAAAACTGTGAACGTAAAAATACGTATCACGTCTATTAAGCTAGCCTATGTATAGAACATGTTGCAATAACATAACTAATGCAAGGAGATATATTATTGAAAATATAATGCTAATAGAACGTTTCGCGGTGTAATCATCGGTTTAAAGTGACATAACTGCTGAAATTCCGGTAATACCTATAAAATAGTCACTCGGCGTCATTGTCAACCATTGGCAAATTTTGTTGCTACATAAGGCACTAGGTTGAAGAGCAAGAGACGCTTATCCTGACTGTTTACGTATTAAATAACTGTAAAAGCATCTAAATTAATACAGTATAAAATTGCTGTTTCAGCAAATCATTAAGAGTCTGAGTAACTGGATTTTTTTCCTCTAAAAGAAAACCACAAAAGAACAAATAAATAACATTATAAAATTTAAAGGTTGTTTAAGCTTATTTGTGATGATATGAATGTACTTGCAACGTTTTCCATTGTATACAACCTGTACTAATATACAGTTTGAGAGTGCAATCTAAATAGAAAACCAACTAGTTTTTTGTTAGAAAAAGTCACCTACTCCGAAGTTGTAGGTCGGTAGGCTATGTAGCATAATTTGAATTGGCTTCATAGAAAAATAATCACTAAAAAACTTACCTAAGCCCAGCTATTTTGGCCGTGTACGTTGACTTTTGTGGTCACGTGACAAAAGTTGCTTACCCACGGTGTTTGTTTTAGTCTGTTTAGCGTCATTTTCTCTAATAGCATCAATGGGTAAATATAGAGAAAAGCGGGGGGGGGGGGCTTTTGTCCACCTTGTCATTTTAAGACGGGGGGGGGGGAGGGCTTTCGTCCGGGGGGGGGGCTTTTGTCCTACACTCCGGTCATCCAACTGTGATCTGTCCACATTTAGCATCGTCGGATACCCGCCTAACCATTTCCATTTATCAGTCATGTTAAATGTTATTTAACCATAATCCGACTGACATTACAGTTGTTAACAATCTGCTGGCCATTTAGTTTGTACTGGTCACACTTTTGCCCCAATTGTCACACAACATCGTAAGAATGTGTGTGACAGGTTTTGCTCGAGTTTGAACATGGATCACCTTTGTTGAAAATCAGAAGTAGGTCACAGTAGCCAAAAAATAGAAAAAGTCGCCCGTAAAAATGTGTTTTTCGGCTTTTCCATGTTTTTGACGCTAGACTGTTACTTTGCCGAAAAACACTTTCATATCGCATTAAATACAGTATAGAATCATTCTCTAATTTACACTGGTTGCAAAAAGAAAGTAATTTTAATCATTTAAAGGATAGAAAAAAGTAGATAAAACTGATTTTGTTGGAATTATACCAATTGTATCGCTGTAAAAGTGTTTTTGGTCTTATCAATATTTTTAAGCTTACCTGTTTAGTTTCAAAAAACATTTTTATAGTGTGTTCTTTTTGATATAATGCTGACAATTGATAAATTTATTGATTGTAATTGTGAAAAACAATTTCTCTAGTGATTAAAATGGAAGTTAGCATATATTTTTTTGCCTGTGACATGTGTTTTTCGGCTTTTCTATGTGCGACGCAGACTCAGCGAATACATTCATTTGCGTATTTTATGATATATTATCGATTTAAAACTGATATTATTGAACCCATTTCATCAAATAAACATCAAAAATTGTTTATATTGCTGAATTGAAGCTCAGCCTTAATATTTCTTTGTATTTTAAGTGTTTTTCGGTATTTTTTGGTGTTTTTCGGTTTTTCAGTGTTTTTCGGCAATTCCATGCACCCATTAGTATAAGCAGATTAAAATAATTCCTATTTTCTGAACATAAATCTAATGTATTTATTTCTTAATGCTTACACTGATTTACAGTTTCAAATGATTATTTCTTATCGTCGAATCTGGCCACATATGCCTGTATTTAGCTCCATTCTCTGGCTTAATCGTCAATATCGAATTGTTATGGGTCGAACGGTCGAGCGGCCACTCTTTATTTTTACCCGTACTGAATCAGGTAATCTTCGCTGAATTTCGAAACATAATTCTTTTCAAAAAACTAAGGCATACAAAAGTGAAAGAAAAGGCATGTGTAAAAAAGGTATTCAAAAGAATAGTTTACGAAATTTCTATTTTTCGAATCCGCGATAATTGCGATGTTTTTAAAAAAAAAAACAAAAAAAAAAAAACAACACATTTTCCGATATAGGCTGGTAAATTTTGTTACGGAGCTCCATACTCATTTTGTAAAACATTTTAGGCCAATTTTATTGCATAAATGTAAATCAGGAATTTTATTTGATTAAATATCTATCTGAGATGTTTCGTCCCATTTATAAAATTCTGACGACTTTACTATATCTACGATGTATTCATTCATGCTTGCAAGCGCATTCGTATATGCGAAGTTTAACGCGTAGGTATAAACTACGATTTAATCAATGAACTGTTATTTTTTGTTTTCTTTAAAGGAATATTGAGTCTATTATTTCATTAAAATGAACGATTAGGAACTTTCAAAGCATTTAAACACCTTTGCAAACACTATTTTAATGATGTGTAGTCGGAATGTAACGCTACTGCAGAATGAAGAACTAGTTTCTATAGCGGTTTTTATGCGGGAGTGGATGTTGTTCGGTAACGACTTAACCTGTAACGATTTCTGAGATATAGCTTATAACTCTGTATACATTGCAAGTAATGTATACAAAAAACTGTTTACTTTATACATGCATTTAAGGTTAAATAGAAATATTGAGGAGGATAAGAAAACAAGTTTTTCTAATTTAAAGCGCACAACTTTTATTACCTAAAGAATACCTTAGGTCTATATTGCGGTAATGTAAAACTATCGGTTTGAATGCCCGGGAAGGTTAATTCATTAATAGGGATCGATCAATTAATTCATACAGAAGTCGTTCTGAACATAATGTTAGCAGAATATTTCTTAAAACCATGTGCAGATATAGATATTGTAATGAATTTCAACACATGAGTATACTAGTTGGTAATAACGAACATTATCATGGGACAAAATACTTAGTTACAAGGGATGCGCTTCCTCTGTGGAAGTCTCGATGGGCATGTCGGACTACGATCACAAAGACCCATACGTTGGAAATCATTGTCTTAAACTTTCCCTACGAGGTAGTTCACATGTGCCAAGGCTTGGTTACAAAGTTTGTTTGTTATTTGTGTAAAAGTACTGAAAGCTAGTGTTTATTACAAGAATTCGGACGATGTTGTTACAAGGCGATACTTAATGCAAAATATATTCCTAATTATACTATACTTGGTCTACACACTAAATTGTGCACATAGTCAAAATGTTATACAAAAGTTCATTTTTTTTCATCTAAAACTGTGCACATGGTCTTTAATTTGAAAATTTACCATTAAATTAAATAATAGTATGCCAAAAAGTTTCAGAAACCGACTAAAATGTTTTTTTCTTGTTATATACAATACTGTACACAGTACACTGGGTGTGTTAATTTTTTATTGGTGTAGAAGTCTATCTTACTAAAAAATTATGTGTGATAACTTGGGGAGGGTAAAGAAAACTGCCGATTCAGATTTTTTTTGGACGAGACTATTGAAGAACTGGATTTCTTTTGTACTTTTGAAACAGTTAATTATTTCGTGAGAAAGATTGATTTAATTTAAAAAAAAGATACTCGGCCGAAGTATAAACTGGTTAACATGCAACATTCTGTTATTATCCTTTACTTTTTATTTTAGAATGACCAATAAAATGTACAGATTTCAGAGTGTAATTTTAAAAGGATCTTCTGATATTCAATCCTTTCCTGTTAATTTTACAGGAAGTCAAACTCCGTCTGAAAAAAACCACGTCAAATCTTAACTTTTGTATATATTTGAACATTTTTCATATCTTGCATATATTAAGGGAACTAAAAATATAAACCCAGGTTCCATGCATATTGTCATTATAAACTATACAATCGAAATAATAAACTTCATCAAATATCTAGCGTACAAATGCAGCGGACATGCAGATATATGAATCATCTTAAATTTGATACCCAGTCAAGGTTAACTGTACATTTTTTTTAAAAATGAGACTTTGCGTATGGGTATTTTTAAAAAAAAATAGTGACCTAGATCTTATAATACTACCATGGCACCAAAAATATAGCAAACAAATATATTCAGTGTCAAAATGTAAATCAAAATGAACAAAACTTAAGCATATAAGGTGAATTATATAATATTTTAGTTAAAGCAAATCAATTGCGCTTGTCAAACTTGTTGAACGACCCTTATTCTTGAAACTGATAACGAAAGTCAGTGCGATTTAAAACGGGTGACAAAACGACAGACCAGATCTACAAGGTGTGATGCGACATCAGGGATTGAAATATTTAGCTTACAATAATGTCGGGTATAGCGTAGGACTGGAATCATAGTTTCAAAAGGTAATTCATTTATTTAATATTTTGTCAATGAAACATATCCTTGTGTCTGTTGGTGGTAGGACAGGACGTGAAGTTGTTTTACAGTTTGTTTAATCGGGCGAAATGGTTGTAGACAATACAAAATGGCGACCGAATTGTCTTAAACTCGGACGACTTAAGCGGACAATATAAGCATATAAAAACACTGACAATATAGATAAAGAGGAAAAAGCGGAGATATATAATTATACTGTAGACTGATGAATGAGTAAGCGTGAATTGAGCAAGTTTATAAAAATGGTGTATGATTGACTTTTATAGATTAATATTTAAAATATTGATAATTAAATAGCAAGTTAGAAAAAATATGAATGTAACTTATGACTGAATTTCATTGAACTTATTTTACGTTTTATTTAAGTCTGTGGTATTATGATAAATGTTTTGGACATACAAATAAGGAAAGTGAATTTATGAAACAAATTATTAAAACTTTATGTGCAGTAGGCGGAAATATGTTCGCTGGCAATATGTCATTTATGATAAACGCGGAAGATAAAGTATAGACATGTGAGATGCAAGCAATCTATCAAACAATGTTAAGAATCAGAACCAGATATTGAAAATGTGTCAATCATAAAGGCATAAATAAACTTGCACTACACCAAAATTCGTTAACCATTTATTGTCTTAAACGTTTTTTTTTCCACAAATATAATACATTTCTTCATCTTAACAATAACAACATCAGAAATACCTTATTTCGCTAGACTCTGCATGTTCATACGAAGTGTTCTGTTCACAAAGTGACATGGTGAGCTTTTGTGATCGCTTTTCGTCCTGCGTCCATCCGTCGTCCGTCCGTCCGTCGTACGTCCGTCGTCCGTAAACTTTTACTTTAAATGACATGTCCTCATAAACCACTAAGCCAATTTCATCCAAACTTCACAGGAATGTTCCTCTGGTGGTCAAAGAATTTAATTCCATGCAGAACTCTGTTTGCCATGGCAACCTAAAGAAAAAACTTTAAAAATCTCCTAAAAATCCAAAAGAGCTAGAGCTAAAATATTTGGCATGAAACATCTTCTAGTGAGTGTCTACCAAGTTTGTTAAAAAAAAAGCCCTTGGGTCAAAATTTGCCCCGCCCCAGGGGGTCATTGATTTTCCCTATATGCATATAGTAAAAACTAAAAAAAACTTCTTTTAAAGAACCCAAAGAGCTAGAGCTAAGATATTTAGCATGAAACATGTTCTCATGGATGTCTACCAAGTTTGTTCAAATAAGAGCTCTGGGGTCAAAATTGGCCCCGACCCGGGGGTCATTGAATTTCCTTATATGTGTACAGCAAAAACTTAAAAAATCTTTTTTGAAAAAACAAAACAAAACAAATAGCTAAGGTTTAGATACTAAGCAGGAAACATCTTCTAGTGAGTGTCTACCAAGTTTGTTCAAATAAAAGCCCTGGGGTCAAAATTGGCCCCGCCCTGTTGGTCATTGATTTTCCTTATATGTGTATAGCAAAAACTTAAACATCTTCTTTGGAAAACCCTGAATAGCTAGAGTTTAGATATTAAGCATGAAACATTTGCTAGTAAGTGTCTACAAATATTGTTCAAATAAAAGCCCTAGGGTCAAAACTGGCCCTGCCCCCGGTGTGTCATTATTTTTAACTATATGTGTAAAGAAATAACTTGAAAAAATTTTCTTTTAAAAAACCCAATGAGCTAGACCTTAGATGTTTAGCATGAAACATCTTGTAATAAGTGTCTACCAAGTTTGTTCAAATAAAAGCCCTGGGGTTTAAACTGGCCCCGCTCCGGGGGCCTATATACAGGTGAGCGACTTCAGTGCCACCATGGCCTTCTTGTTTCATAATATCCCCATTATTTATACGGATTGAATATAAAAGTAATTCTACTTAGAAGTTTACAAAAAAATGTTTAAATAAAAGAAAAAGAAAAAAAGACAATGCTATATTTTATATTGTATAACGAATATATATTTTTAACAACCAAAGGATAATAAGATTGAATATTTGTCTGATGGTCAATTACAACTGGTAGAAAAAAAATTAACATGAAGATTGATTTTTTTACAAAAAAAACCCCAAAACAAAACAAAAAAACACACAAAAAAGAACCAACAAACAAAAAAACCCACCACCACCACCAGCACCACCACCAACAACAAAAACACCAACACAAAAACAACAACAACAACAACCCCAAAACAAAACAAAAGCCATCAAATCTCAACTTTGGTATATATTTGAACATATTTTATATGTGGCATGTATTGAGGGAAATAAAAATAGAAACCCATACCGTCACTATAGACTGTACAATCGAAAAAATAATCTTATACAATTTAAATAATCAAATAGCTATTGTACAAGTGCAGCAGAGATATGAATAATCTTAAATTTGATACCCAGTCAAGGTTAACTGTACATTTTTGAAAAATGAGACTTTACATATCGGTATTTGTTTACAATTTAAGTGACCTAGATCTTATAATAATACCATGGCACGAACAAAATAACAAACAAATATATTCAGTGTAAAAATGTAGATCAAAAACCAAAATTTATATAAGCATGTAAGGTTTATTAAATCATACTTTAGTGAAAGCAAATCAATTTGCATTTGTTACGTCACACTTGTTGAACAACCCTTATTCGTGAAACTGAATACGAAAGTCAGTGCGATTTTCTGAAAATAAAAAAAACCCCTACAAGGACTAGATCTACAAGCTGTTATGCGACATTAGGGCTTACAATAACGTCGGGTATAGCGTAGGACTGGAATCATAGTTTCAAAAGGTAATTTATTTATTTAATATTTCGTCAATGAAACATATCCTTGTGTCTGATAGTGGTAGGACAGGACGTGAAGTTGTTTTACAGTTTGTTTAATCGGTTGAAATGATTGAAGATTATACAAAATGGCTACCGAATTGTCTTAAACTAGGACGACTTTAAAAGCGGACAATATAGATAAAGAGGAAAAAAGTGGATATATATAATTATACTGTAATCTGTTGATTATTAAGCGTGAATGGAGCAAGTTTATAAAAATGGTGTATGATTGACTTTGATAGATTAATATTTAAATTATTGATAATTAAATAGCTGGCATGCGAGCAGTTCCCGTACAGAAGCAGTACCCGTATTTTTCATTTCAACGCTTGATTTTTACTTGCATTCTTCGAAAAATCATTTCAAATCAAGCAGATACATAAAGGAGACCAAATCTAAGTGTCAGTTCAGCAGTACGTATAAAAAGTCTCATTTTAAATCACTTTCACCTGTGCGTCGTCAAAACGTGACCTTGTTTTCTCTGGGGATTCCGTCCTTGTGCGCATGCGCAAAAATACTTACACGTGAGGCTTGTTAAAGGGTTTTCCACTAATATCACCTGTTTACAGATAAGTAGGCAATGTGATGAAAACTTGTTTAATTATCAGAATTTTGACCAATATTACTATATAAAATAATTTTATGGCTTTGATGCGTGCATGCTATTGCATGTGAATGCGTTGGGGTAACGGAACCGGGTATTAGATACCCGCGTTTAGTCTACGCTCTATTTCCTGAATTACATCTATTTATCTCTTAGATAATGGTCTGTACAACAATTGTAAATGAAAAATAGGTCCGATATAATAAAATTGTATAATTATAATGGGTTAGATTTTATGTACGGGAACTACTTCTCTTCATACAAAATGATGGATAATTTCGGTACCCCATATGAGGCCTCATAAGTAAGGGTTATTCTGTGTTTAGAACATGATGGAATTTCCATGATTTGTGTGACGAGCAGAATATTGATGTGTAAAATTCAAATTTTGGTGAGTGAGCGTAATAAAAATAATGTTTAAGTAACTATGATTTTTGTACAGGAACTGCAGTAAATGTAACTTATGACTGAATTTCATTGAACTTATTTTACGTTTTATTTAAGTCTGTGGTATTATGATAAATGTTTTGAACATACAAATAAGGAAAATGAATGTATGGAACAAATTATTAAAACTTTCTTTTTGTGCAGTAGCGGAAATATGTTCGCTGGCAATATGTCAATTGTGATAACCGCGGAAGATAAGTATCTATAGACATATGAAAATGCGAGCGATCAATATCAGATATTGAAAATGTTTAAATCATAAACGCATAAATAAACTTGCACTATACAAAATTCGTTAACCCTGGCATTATTTCATTGTCTTTAACGGTTTTTTTCGCACAAAAAATAATACATTTCTTTATCGTCAATAATAGCTTATTTCGCTTGACTTTGCATGAGTTTGTAACTTTTATATCAAGACCAGATAGTTTTACAAAATAAAAAGAAATACAGTGTTATTTTATCATTTCATTACATAAAACATAAAAGGAATACAGAGTTTATTTATAATTATGCCCCCATTTCGAAGAAAACGGGGTATATTGCTTTGCACTTGTCGGTCCGTCGGACCGTCGGTCCGTCAGTCCGTCGGTCCGTAGACCAAATGGTTTCCGAGTGATAACTAAAGAACCCTTAGGCCTAGGAACTTCAAACTTGGTATGGTGATTGTTCATGACCAGTAGATGACCCCTATCGATTTTGGGGTCAAGGGGTCAAAGGTTAAGGTCACATTGACCTTGTAAGCAAAAACGGTTTCAGATCAATAACTAAAGAACCTTAAGGCCTAGGAACTTCAAACTTGGTATGGTGATTGGTCATGATCAGTAGATGACCCCTAGTGATTTTGGGGTCAAGGGGTCAAAGGTCAAGGTCAAATTGACCTTGTAAGCAAAAACGGTTTCCGGTCAATAACTAAAGAACCTTAAGGCCTAGGAACTTCAAACTTGGTATGGTGATTGGTCATGATCAGTAGATGACCCCTTTTGATTTTGGGGTCAAGGGGTCAAAGGTCAAGGTCACATTGACCTTGTAAGCAAAAACGGTTTCCGATCAATAACTAAAGAACCTTAAGGCCTAGGAACTTCAAACTTGGTATGCTGATTGGTCATGAT